CTCCCAGGTTTTCCAATGGGTCTCTAACTGATGTCAGCTCATGATGAAATCCTCCAAACAATCAAAGAATATTTTACTCATTTGAAAGTCTGTGGACTAGCGCTGTTGAGCAGTGGTATAATTTCCTTTAAAGAAATTCACATCTGTATGATGAATAACTACACTACTTTTAGAAGTTAAGTAGTATTCAGTGGTTTATACTGTGTGCCTACTAATCCCTATTAATTCTATTAAAGTTTACGTCCTTTTCCAAGATGTGTACATTCTACGAACTGTTTCATATATGTTGTTATTTGTTTTATCGTTTGATATTGAACTATGATTATAAACACGAATATTTCGTCGAATTTCACATTATTATAAGTATTCGCATCTTTTGTTTTAATTTACTCATGCGATATAGTTTCTAAAAATTCATGTACATATATATATATTTCTACAGCGGGATAATAAATTCGTGTTAAGAGTCTCTTTACTGAATATTATGTTCCTAATGATGCAATGTGCGTTGGTTTTTCAGCGGTAGAATAATCGTCTGCCAAAGATTTGGTGTGTTTGTATGTGGGGGGGAGTGTTCGACCCCCGGACGATGCACTGGTGAATCTTGCTTATCGGGTTGTAAATCCCGTAAGAAAAGACGATTAAGCGTGGGATTAGAAATCTCACTCTATGAAAAAAGAACGCCACCAATACTGAAACTCCAAAGCTGAAGCTACATGCTCCACTGGAATTGCGGAGTATTCAATAAAAATTATGCAGTATGTTGTGATTGCCAAGCATGAATTGGATTTACCTTTTAGCATTACAAATGCAACTGTAAACTACAACCAAATAAATATCGAACCTAGAATTTAAGTAGTATCGTAGCATTTATTCAAGAAAAATTTCGTTTTCACTAGTTTTAAAGCCTTGCAGCAACAATAACACTGATAACACTTCTTTCTAGTCACAAGTCGCAATTCGAAATGTTTGTATTTACTAAAATTCAAAAGTAAACTGATTTTATCGTTTTAAACGAGATGTAGGCCTCAGGTTTTCAATATTGACTGTCAATAAAGTAACTAAATTTAAAAAAAAACAGATAATAAAGTCAATTTTTATAATGAGTAATATGACGACAGATAAATGGAAAATACTTATTTCATTCTCTTTATGCTTGAAAAAGTTTTGGGACTATTCAGCAGTTGACGGCAAGGGTCGTCAGGTTCCTACGGGGAAGGCTATTAGTCACTGGGCATATCCTACAACCTGAAAGTCCTAGGTTCGGTCTCCGACGGGGTTGCTGATTCTAACTGCTGAGGAGCCCGAAAACTAAGACGAACCAGCTGTTTAGTGCTTCGTTGTTTTCAGTGATCTTTCAAGTAGCGTTGATCCATGACACACTAAAGTTAAGTGAAATCTCTACAAAAGATAACATTGTTATATCTTTTTGCATACTAAAATTTTGACATACTTTGTCGTTTTTCTTAAAAGAAAATACTACGTGTTTTCTAAGCGTTATTATTATTATTTTTATTTTATGACAACGTTTACAACAGAATTACACGTGAATTTCTTTCGAATTTTTTTCATTGTAAAAGGAATTAGAGAATGAAAGCAATTTACTCATATTCACATAATTTGCGTCACAGTTTGATTATGTTGATGGATTCATATTACTCTTTCAGCTGTTTAGTTAGCTGATAATAGAAGTGTTTATTATGTATATTATTCCCTTGGGTTCTTAGTGGAACACAGGGCTTCAGCAGCTCATTGCCACTTCACTCTGTCCTCTGCAGTCGTCTTTAGCTGACTCCACAGTCGTCCATATGCTATCATCGCCTCAGACAATCTCTTCGATGTCCTACCTATAGCTCCCTGTTCGGGTTCCACTCCAGGTCCTGGCGCACGATGTCTCTCAGGGTTAACTTATGTGTGTTTAAGCCATTCCAATTTCCTTCTTTTGGCCAGTAAGTTCTCAGGTTGCTAGGTTGCTAGGGTTCCTTGTCGCCTATCATCGCTGACTAGCCATCTGATCTCGAGTATTGAGCTAGCAAAGGCAACTGTTGGTGAAGGCCTGCAGTAGTCTTTTTGAAGTGATTTAGGTGATTGCCACACCAGCTCCCTGAGCCATATAGAAGCAAGTGCTGATCTGACATCAAAGTTGAAAATTAAGATCTTGTTTCTCATGCTAAGTGCAGTAGATTTCAACACTGATTTCAGAGGACCTATCTTGCTTTTCCAATCCTGCCTGTAGCGTTCTCATCTGTAGTTGAAACTTTTGCTGCCTTGGTAGATGAAAAAGCCGACTTATTCCCGATTTCTCCTGTTGAAAGTGATTGCTGCTTGTTGGTTAGGTGTCTTCGTCACTGCCATCCTTTCCATCTCTACATAAAGTCATACCTTCGTCGCCTCTTCTGTCAAATTGTTATTTTTTGCATGTGTATGCTCGAGTTTGTGCGACAGGAGATGCAAATCATCTTCTAGAGTCTTTTTGCCGGTAGGGCGTCCTCTCGTCCTCTCTTTCTCTCCACAGTCTGTTGCATGATCCAGTTCACCACAATCGAGAATACCGTCGGGAATAGTAGACACCCTTGTCTTGCTTCTGTTTTTATATCAAAGGTTTTGCTGAGGTTTACCTTGTGAATTTTATTGATATTTGGCATCATCATATAGCTGTTAAATAAGGTTGATCAGTGTTTGTGTCACTGGACTAGGTATTATTGAAGAAGTTTCCAAATTACTTAAAGATCAACGCTATCGGAGGTCTTTTCAATGCCAGTGAAATAGAAGTGGAGATTTGAATGCCACTTGAAGCTCTGTTCGATAATGATGCGTAGCGTTGTGGTGTAATCCGCACATGACTTGCTTTTCCTGAATCCAGCTTGTTCCAGAGCATCTTTAACTCTCTGTAGGATGATGCGACTTAATATTTGGCTTGGTGTGAACAGGAGCATGATTCCACACAGGTTCTGACAAAGACTTCGATAGTTAGACAAGGTAGCCCTTCTTCCAATCCTCAGATACCTTTCCTTTTCTCCAAACCTTCTGCAAAAGTGACATGAAAATACCCTTTAAGGTGAACAATGAAAGGAGAAGCTTAGTTCAGTCTGCAGGGCACTGAACAAGCGAGTGAAAAAAGGGTGCTAGGAAAGACGAAAGATACTTTTACGAAGTTGTAGAGGAGAAATTTGCATGACTTCATAGTTCAGGAACAGTTTGCTTGACGCCGATCATGAACAGTGTCTTTGATGATAATGGGATTCATGAAATTTCCTCCATAAGGAAGATCTTGCAGGTGTCAATAGACCTCTCTAGGGTTAGAAAGCATGTCCAAATTTTCGGAGGGGTCTTCCCTATCTCCAAGTTCCTAAAGGAAAACATCTTGTTGCTATTATGCCAGGTTTTGACAGTACTACAAATTCATTTTCAGACTCCTGCCACAGTGTAAGCAACTTACACTAGGACAGTAACTACTTCCAGTCTTATTACCCCTAAGATAACTATATGATGCGACCTTCAGGAACGTTTTTGGGATGTCGAGATGCTCAAGCTATACTACTTAATCAAGATAGTAGCCATAAGTTGGGCAATGCTCAGGAATGTTTTAGTGATTTGGTTTAGAATCATACACAGTAGTTCAAATGTATTTATTCCTTATAATAGAAAATCTGAACAACTTTACTATTCCCCAACAATTTATTCTCTGTCGTAGCAAACACTGCCGTCCACTGTACAATCACCGCATTTCTGTCCAGATATTTTTTTGTATGCCCTTTTGTTTGTGTTTTGTAAGAAATGGTATGTTAAATACCACTGGTGTTTTCCTGTCACAGTCATTTATGGCTCATCGGCTTAAACACTCGACTTTCAATTTATGGGTTCCGGATTCGAATCCCGCTACACTTGCTGCAACCTGGACGACTGGGTAGCATCATCTGCACTCAAGCACGCAATAAGCGTGACTCTTAGCCTAAATGCATAAAAAATCGGTTCTGGGCAAGTCATGTAAATAAACATACTATTTGTGTTTTAGTAAAACCTCATCTACACTTTGTTTATCAAATATGTTTTATTTTGAATAAATATCACTGCTTTTCAACTGTCACAAGTTTACTGTACTTCAAGTTATCTGACATGTTGCTGGATCATTCAAATCTAAAAGAATTTATTTCAATGTCCAATCTCGATGGAGTTATCATTAAATATACTGAAACAACTTGGTAATTAGTCTCAAAGTTAGGCTCTCTTTTTTGTAGACTAAATTATTAGAAGTTAATTGATGGATGGTGACTAGCAGTGGAATCCAGGATGCGCATTTCGTCCTAAAAACTAAACCCGCTGCACAAGAGGTGTCTCTCGTGGCCCAAGTGGTCTAGTGGATAACGCGTTGGGGTTTGAAACTGTGGGCACTGGGTTCGAGCCTCGGTGGGAGCATCATCAGTCACTGCGGAATGCCAGTACATCCAGATGACGAGTCCCGAATAAGACGAAATGCGCATCCTGGGTTCCACTGTTAGTCACCATCCACCAATTAACTTCTAATTACATGCCCAGACATCGTGGATACATCTGCCCAAGAAGCCGACATGTCAACCTGAGACCGAGCACTTCGGTCCAATCAATCGACGGGAAAATCTAAAATTGAATTAAATATATTCATTATTTACCAGCATTCTTAAGGTTAAATATACGCTACCAGACATCTAATTTGCTACACTTTCGTTTTAGTGTACTTGTATAGGTAGAACTGTGGTGGTCAATTACAGTTCGAATTTCTCCAGGTGTATTACTGACCTGGAGAAATTCTGTAATCAAATCAGATGGTACGTTTGCCTGTTTTAAGGGTGTTCTATCAAATTTTTTAAACAGCTAACATATCTGTTGTGACGTTTGCTATACTATGTACGAAAATAACCCGCGATAGTTTGTATCCTCACTCCAAACAAGCTCTTCCTAAGGCCTTCAAAATAATATTTGTTTTAAAAGGAGGAAAACTTTATTGCCTTTCTTTTTTTTAGATATCCTTAAAACCAAAGAAGAAAAAGCACGAGAAGAAGAATTAATCGCTGATTTAATATATATTGTGGATAAAAGAGCTGAACTTGTAGAATCTGCTGAAAATGTAAAAGTCAAGTAAGTATTTTATACATTTGTAGTTTATTCGATAAATTTAAACAAATACGGCAACGGTTGTGGTATGCTTACTAACAACGCAGATGGTCTGCATTGGGTTCCTGGCCGACATACCCTTCAGACCTTACCTAGTCGGTGGTAAGCCGAGGAAAGTGGAAAGGTTGGTCATGACACTATCAACCGCAGTCTGTAAAAACAACACCGCCGATACTGAAACTAAAAAAAGCTTGAGGCCGTATGTTTCACTTAGAACACGAGAAATGAGAAAAGCCGAATACAAATCAAGATGGTAGAGATCATTTAATTTACAGGATATCATCAATTGCAGATTGTTTGAAAAAAATACAATAACTTCACAAAAGTGCATACAAATATTAAAAAGTCCAACTGATAAAGGATTATCATCTGAGGCACAGCGGTTAGGACGCTCGCCGACCATGCACATGGTCCGGGGTTCGATTCCCGGCCGACGCACTCCTTTACCTCGCTGAGCCAGAAATAAAAGCTGGTAAAGAGGAAAGGTTGGGCATGAGGCTAGCAACCCCATCCTGTAAAATCATCACTGCTACAGAAACTTCAAGCATCTAGCTTGAAGCCCTATGTTCCACTGGGAACGTGAAAGAATAAAAAAATCTGAGGAAATATTATCACTGTAGGTGCACAAACTCACTTCAAACTGTTTCAGAAGTTTTAATGGTTGTAGGAAAAGGGGAGAAATACAAAAACATGAATGTTTACAGCTTGCTGATGAGATTCAGTAACATGTAGAATAATATTCACAAAAATGAAATCAATTTATCGCTCTAGAATTAGTCAGTGAGTAAAATAAAGACTTCGATTACAAAAATAAAATGATGAGAATTTAGAGGACAGTCATCATGGTAGTGGGAGACTGGTCACATCCTGTTTCTGAATGCGAAGATCTTATTGAAAATGCTTTCTTGTTAAGGCATTTGGGGAAACGAACTAATCCAGGCATATAAGTATAAAACTTGGGCACTGTGGTAGAGTATAACTCCATTATAGATAAGATTTTATTTTGATAAATCACACAGTGTTATCATATCAAGGTGATATGATTATGAGCAATAGTTTGTGCTCGAAACGTCATCAGTTGATATTACTGTGTAACACTGTGTGATTTATCAAAATAAAATCTTATCGATAATGGAGTTAATCCAGGCAAACTCGAAAACATCATGTCCCGTGTCCACAAGATGTTTAGTTAATACAAATTTGCTTCTGTTGGTAAATAAACTTCTCAGGAAACCAATTGAAAGCTCTTCTCTCGCTATAATTGCTAACGCGAGTGAATATATATATATATATATATATATATATATATGACCGGTATGAATGCCCTTTGAAATTATAACCTTTTGTAGAGGATTTTGAGTAAACGATACATCCTAGTGACAACAGATAAAAGCCTTTATAGTTAGGCTCATAGTTCATTCTCTGTGTATTTTCTGTAGATAGTATTCACCGCCATACTATGATTTTCGCTTGTCATATTAATATCCAACAAAATAAACCCGCTGATGTATTCATATTACATCGCAGACTGAATTTTTAGGTGGCTATCATTAAGCCTGACAAACTACACGTGGTTAACTATTCACATAATTGCAGATGACATTTTTTTCATCCGTTTACGTTCCGAGTGGAACACACGGCTTCAAGCTTTGAAGTTTCAGTAGCGCCAGGGGTTTTACGAGGTGAAATTGATAGCTTCACGCCTGTCTATTCCCCATTCTTCAGCCTGCTACCGTCTAGGCAAAGCTAAGGAGTGAGTCGACCGGGAATCGAACCACCTCCGTCCATGTGCGTAGCTGATGGGCATTCTACCCATAAACCACCAAAAGCACTGCAGATGACATATGAATGAATCATCAAAACACCCGTTATTTTTTTCCTTCATTTATGTATGAATCCACATTATATCCACTGAAGTCAGTGCATGGAAATATCTATCAATGAACGAAATATTCCCATATTGAGTCATAAGAAAAAGGCACAAACAGCGAAGAAAATTTTCTTTTCGACGATTCATTTCCATGAGCTGTACAATCGTAATTATAATTAACAAAGAAATCTTTAGACCAATCAGATACTGGTAAATTTTGTCCTTGGAAAATTGTATTACATAATGTAAGGTGTAAGAAGGGATGACTAATTGTAAGTTAGAAAGGAGACAGAAGTTGGCATGACGTAATAAGTGTGAGATAGTGAATAATCAATAATCTCGTGTAAAATGGACAGGAACTAGTGGAAAGGCTATAAAGTGTTTTTGTGTAAAATATGTATGAAAAGCAATGTTATTAATAAACAGTAATAGAGTGGTGATAAAATGTGGATGATGGGAACAATAATGATAATAAAAAAGTATTAATAAAATAAAATAATAATAGTAATAATAGTGAACTTACATAATAAAGGAAAGAAGCAAAATTGTGTTGAGAACTTTACTCTGGCCATGGTAAGGCAAGAGAATGTATGTATCGCTTTTGAATGCAGAGGTCCGGTTTCCGATGTCGAATAGCTAATGCTTCAGCTATGTACAGATGGCGTGTCCGAAGTCCCTTTGTACGATATTCAGGGACTCTGTGTAACACTATGAAGCATTCATGTGGAGGTGCTCGATGTCCAGAGATGACCAGGTGTTCGAGGATCGAGCTGTTGCTATTCTTCCTTTCTCTTCTAGCTAACCAAGCTGGGCAGTGTTCCAGAATACGTTTGTGGACTTGACGTTGCGTACGGCCAATATACTTTGCTCCACATGAGCAAGTAAAATGATAAATACACATTGAGGTGGCCAAAAGCGGTATCTTGTCCTTAACGTCAGACTGGATTAACTGTCTGCAGGAGAATGTGATACGTAGAGTGGCTGTTGGAAATGTCTTCTTCAGACATTTAGAAAGGCCGTTTTTGAGAATTTTCGCTGCTACACCACCTTTGAATTCTAGGTTCATGAAAAGAGTGTTCTTAGGAACCGTTGCGATGTTTGACACCGGAGGCTTCTCCTTCATGTTTTTGTCAATAAATCTTGGTGGATACCCATTCTCTAGTAGGGTTTTACGTAATAAATTTAATTCCTTCTCTACCATGTCTTCCGAGCAGATTTTTCTGATTCTTGAACACAACGTACGTACCAGGTTTCTCTTTCGGATTAGTGGGACAAAGCTCTGGAAGTTGATAAACTGTCCAGTCCATGTTGGCTTGCGGTATATTGATCTTTGGATAGTACAGTCGTGTCGTCTGGTCAGTAGTACATCAAGGAATGGAAATGCGTTGTTCGATTCTCGTTCTAAGGTGAAACTTATTGATGGATGCGCTGCGTTGAAGGTTTTGAGGAGAGAATCTAAATTACAATTTTCATCACAGATTATAAACGTATCATCTTCGCATCTCTTGTATAAGTGCAGTTGACTTATCAAGGGATTGAGGATGTTGTTTTCAAGACTCGCCATGAATTAATCGGCTAGGAATGGACCGAGAGGAGACCCCATGGCTACCCCATCTTTCTGTACATAGAACTTTTCATTGAATTTGAACTGGATATTGAACGTACATCTGAGAAGTTCCTTCAGGTAGTTTATTGGGAGAGGAACTTCTAGGTTGTTGGTTTCGATGTAATTACAAATGAAGCATATTGTTTCAGTTAGGGGGATACTTGTGAATAGAGAGGCGACATCTAGTGAGATCATTTGTCTTTCAGACACGTTGACATCCTTCACTGAGTCGATGAAGTCAAATGTATCTCTGAGGCTATATTTTGTCATATGTCTTTTAACTGGTTCGAGGATATCAGCTAACCACTTCGCGATTCGATGATATGGTGAGTTAACCATGTCTATGACAGGTCGAAGTGGGACATTCTCCTTATGCACTTTGGGCAATCCATCTATCACAAAAGAACATCATTGGTTGTTGTTGTTGTTGTTTTCAAGAAAGCTGATTGTTCACAATTGAGAACTGACACTAAAATATATACACTTTATAGTTATCATCTTATTGCAATTTCAAGATGTGACAGAAAATCTGTTTATTGACAAAGTATTTCAATCGATGTAAATTACTGGTGTATATTCACAAAATAAAGTCGCCACATTATTTTAAACTGTAAATTCAATTCTTCTTAATTTGTTTGAAGTAGATATCTTAAAATTTGAGAAGAGAATATATATATATATATATATAATGCACACTGGCATCTTATAAACTTGAGTTGAATGCATTTAGATTAGCAACTATCCAACTTATCAATTTGTTTTTGATCCTGTCCACTAACATTTCTTCAGTAGAAGCTCTCAATAAATACATACTGGATGATAAGTATTAGATCATGATGCTATTGTGTGAAGTTTATGCTCTAATATCCATTTACTAGGCAAGATAACTGATTTGCAAGTATAGTATTTATTGAAAATATAAAGAAATTCAAGCTTAAATGCGCGGTACACTAGTAAGAAGTGGTAGAGTTCTGCATTCTTTTCTACAATATCTGATTGTATTATTCATGCTTACATATAAAGCTACTTATTAGTCAGACTATCTTTGCATGCCACCAAAGACTGTCAATCTTTACCTGACTTAGCATGGATAAGGGCTTGTGTTATTATACTATTAAGAATTTTGATTGGACACTAGTAACTAGTGTGATGCGTCTAGTCCTTTCTTCGGTGGAGACTGAATTCTATCAGTCAGGTTTGCAATGTGGCCACCATTCTAGGTAGCTCGCCATCATGGTGCACATTGATTTGATGATATTAGATGGTTAAAAGGCAATCGGCAGGAAGCCTTGGATCTAGGTTTCGTGCCTGTTGGCACTCATCATTCAACAAGGTGTATCTACAACCACCGAGAAGGAACTCATGTCCCTTCAGTCTGCACCAAAGAAAGGACTAGACATATCACACCAGTTACTAGTGTCAAATCGAAGTATCCAATACAGTCCTACAGGAGGTCAATCGCGAGTCCGAATAGCTCGGTGGTAACGTCTCTGACTGCACGCGGCACTGGGTGACGCGGGTTTGAATGTCAGAAGGGACATGAGTTCCTCCGAGGTTGCAGATACGCCTTGCTGACTGGTGAGTACCAATTAACACGAAACCTAGGTCCAAGGCTACCAGCCACTGGCCTCCAACCATCTACCATTAAGAATTATAAGACAAGAATCGAATCTGTCCAATATATCAAATTTTGATAGGATACATAAGAAGCAGAATATAAACAGGATATTGTTATGACAGATAAAAGCGTATGAGAAGAACTGATTAATAATTACTGGGGTTGTTCACGATGTTAAAGAAGATAAGGAAAGAATATATTTATTATTCATTATCTCACACTTACTTATACCTCTACACTATTGTAATATTCAAAGAATATATCTCTATATCTGTGAATAATTATGAACTTTGTTACCAACATTCTCTGACGATTTATTCTTATTATGTCGGTTAGGTAACTGACAGCATCTTATGGAGTAAATTTATGTGATACAGCACACATACACACTCACCGATACAGCATTATTTATTTCCTGATGATGTTTCGAGGACAACTTATTGCTTATAATCGTATCAGGGTGCTCACATAACTTCCAAACTTCATTTTCATAATTCCATTATTTCATATCCTTTGATTTTATTGGTAGCGGTATCTTCCATATCCCTGGTATTGGTGTTAAGTCATTCTTGTTGCATGTGTTAGGCGTAGCTTCAATGAACAAAGTTGATTCAGTGATCAACCTCTCGTTCCATTTATCAGTATTACTTTTTAGAATTGTAACTCTACCCCCCCCCCCCAACCTATTTTATGGTTTTATATATTCATGCATGCATTGCAATCGCTGGGTTTTTCTTTCTAAATTATTCATCATCATCATCACCATAGGGTGAGTCATTCTACACTTAGCTACATATCTTATGCTCTGACAATCTGACTACCCTTATCTACTGGTTTGAAACATCATCAGTAAATAATTTCTGTGTATCACTGTCGGATTTTATCAAATAAATTCACTCTATGATGGAATTATACTCTACTACAGTTCTATTCTTGTACAACATGTTATGTAAGTCAAAGCAGTATTGAAAAAGCTACACAGTTTTGTTCTGACTATTGCTAACGCTCTTCCGAGATAATCCTACTTTAGTTAAAAATGCACATTAAAGAAGATACTGACTCAGTATATGTGTAATACACGGCTTAGCCATCTACCGACTTGTTTTTCTCTCTTGACACACTTTATATTATTTCTTTTTACTTACGCTTTAATTATATTTCACATGAACCTTGTAGTATTTCACTTTGAGCGCGCACTCTTCACATTTTTATTGAAATTTTAATACACACCAGCTTAGTGTGAATGAATCCACGTTTGCACTAGTCATTTACACCATTGAGTCTATCTGATTTAGTGAACACAATTTTAACGAGACGTGATATAATAGTAGTTACTAGAGAAAAAAAGAAAAGAACATAACACCACCCACATTAATTAATATTTCTAAACTAAAAGCTTTTATCTTTAAGAATTATCAGTTTTATATACTATTTGCTATATCTATATGTATAATATTCATAGAGACTTGATTTGAATATCATGACCAAATGTATACATAGTTGTTCATATTCTAGAATGTGTCTTCACAAATTAATCTTGTTTACCTTTTATAAACGAATTATTAATTCGACATTGTTTGAAGTTGATTAAAGATACTCACTGACTAGTGAACAAAGAATATTTTTTCCAATTGTAACTAACAGTAGAAGACAAGAGAATTGGTAAAGGAATGTTTTTATTTGGAATCTCTTTATATAGCCAAATTATGTAAGTAAACCTTATCCTCAACGCACCATTTGCACAGATCTGCCGTGTTGTGCTACTTCTGCACTTCATATTGTGTTCCTTTCACTTTTCCCACTTATCTCTGCAACGCTGTATCATTTGCTTTCTCTGACATTAAATCTATCTCCCTGCTATTTGATGTTTTTATGCCAATGAACGTCTCTTTTGAAATACTACTGATAAATCTTATCAGTAGCGCACACCACACGATAACCTGCTGCTTCATCAGGTTCTACAGTTATATTCACCTATGATAATTCAAAGATTTATTGTTATTAAGACCATTAGTGTTTTAAGCAATATCCAGTCGTCAAAGCCAACAGTTCAAAAGTATCTCTAAGTAACAATACACACCAATATAACACTAAACAGATTGAATATCGTCGGTGGCACAGCGGTTAGGACTCTCACCTAAACATGCACATGGTCCGGGGTTCGATCCCCGGCCGACGCACTCCTGATGTCAATGATCGGCCTGCGAAATTTGGGCTACCGATATCACGTGCTGAAAACTCCATACTTGTAACAAAAATGCGGTGTGGAATCAAGCTATGATGAAAATTAAAAAAAAATAAAATATTGGAGAATTTGTGAATTTATAGATTCTATAGCAGGCCAGAGTAGCCTAATAGTATCTGGAGCCGTTTCTTTAGCACACTGAGCTCTGGGTTGTTTTAAGCGAAGTGAAATCACCTCCGCTGTTTAGAATGTTCTGCACCTAATCTACATGCCTTTGGTAATTTATTCGGTATCCCGAAAGTACTATTTCCGCATGTATTTTGTTTTCTTCTGCGTTCTAGGGTTAGAGGTAGGTCATCAACCCGAAAAACTCTGGAAAATAAATTTAAAAGTAAGTGTCTGTTTTTAAAATTATTGTTTTAATTCTTTATGTAGAATTTGTAAAACTTGCACAGTGATAGTATGTAACTAAATGTTAGTTTCTTCTACTATACAGATAGCCTAATTAAAACAGTATCATTTTCTGAGGGACGTTCTTTCAAGTAAAATTTATTGTTCATAATCACATAAAAAAATGTAACCCTATGACTTTGCAACTTGATTCATGTATTTACCAGTTCTCCTCTTCCAACTATTCACATTATCTGAGCCGACAATGAATCATTCTTGCTGTATATATATATATATATATATATATATTCTCAGTTGATTCGTTAAAGAAAGCTTAAACGGTTAGGACAGGTAGAACAGAAGAACAGGGTTCAAGATTATGCGGTAATACTTTTTATGTGATTATTAACAATGAATTTTGTTAGAAAATATCATCCACAAAATGATACTGTGTCAGCAATCTTATCTACATAATAAAAAAATTAGGTAGAGTTTTTACCAGTTTCTAAAATATGTTAACACTTGTCCGATTTCCTCAGTGAAGAAAGGTCAAGTTTTACATGCATAGAGTATATACGTATAGACTGAAGGTACTTAACTTCTTTTTTTTTAATTAAGATAGTCCTACACTAGTTACGACGCTGTGACACTCATATGTGGCTGATAGGCTTTTTGATATTTGAAATCCATCCAACGGTTCTTGAATCGAAATCACTGTCCAACCTGCATGGCGTCATCGACCCTCATACAATTAGTTTGGTTCATAGCTTTGGTATATGTAGGATAACTAAATTTTAACTGAAGTAGGTTCATGCAAAAAAATAACTGCAAAAAATGTTTCGGATCTAGTTTCTGCAATTTCAGTTAGCGGACAGATATAAATGGCACCATAATTAGCTCCCAGGACAAACGACTGCATCGTTGCAAAGAACACTTTTGCAGAGCAGTTTAATTGGCCTACAGCCACGCTCAACCTACCGAACACCCAATACCTCTCTGAATGGGCGATCCTCCGTCCCTAACTGAGATAACTAAGGCTGTCAGTAGTCTGAAACGAGGCAAAGCTGCGGCGACCGATAGAATGACTCCGGAGGTGTTTAAGGATGGCGGAGACAGTTTACTGTCTGAGTTAACTAAGGTACTAAGCAGCATCTGGGAATCAGAGGAAGTCCCGTCGGGTTGGTGTAAGTCATTGATTATCCCGATATACAAAAAGAGAGACAAGTCTTCCTGTGATAATCATAGGGCGATGTGCTTGACCAACATTGTATCTAAAGTTCTAGGCTCAATAATCACGCGTAGACTAAGTGGTGCATGGGAAGCACAAACACGAGAGAAACAGGCAGGCTTTAGACCAGGAAGAGGGTGTATTGATCATATCTTCACCCTTCGACAGATTCTGGAACACATGGCATACTTACCGGCGTCCAACAATCGTTATATTTCTTGAACTAAGGCGGCATTCGATTCTGTCGACCGAGAGGTACTATGGCAATGTTTGGCTGTAAAGGGAATTCTAAGAAAATACACTTTACTGATCAAGGCACAATACTAGAACTCATGTAGTCAGCCAGGTGAGAGCTTATGGCGAGTTGTCATCTGAAGTGGTGACTACTAGTGGCGTCCGTCAAGGATGCCCATTATCCCCATTCCTATTCAACTTCATCGTAGCTGTACCAATGGACTTAACCCTAACTCACTTCAACGACTCAGGGATTGACTTGTTACCAGGGAATAATCTTGTTGACTTAGAATATGCAGATGGTATAGTCCTTCTAGGCGAGGACTCTGACAAAATGCAGTCTTCTGAACACCTTGAGCTGCAATCTACGAATATTTGACATGCGATTCGCTCCCGCCAAATGTAAGATTATGTTACAGGACTGGACTACACTGACTCCTAGTTTAGAAAAAGGGAGTGAAGTGGTAGAGCACTTTGACCGCTTCACTTACTTGGGAAGTACCATCAACCCCAACGGGTTGATCTCTGACGAAGTCTCAGTATGGACACAGAGGGTTAGTTTCCCATACGCCATCTCTAGCGTAGACGTGACATCCGGCTATCGACCAAAGGGTGGGTGTACTGCTCAGCAGTCCGGTCCATCCTCCTTTATGGCTCTGACACCTGGTCACTGAGAGTGGAGGACATGATAAGGCTAGCTGTCTTTGATCATAGGTGCCTGCGTTCTATCTTCCGTGTGAAGTGGTATAACAGAGTGAGCAATATTGAGGTTGGGCATCGGTCGAGTGCTAGGTAAGGACGGAGGGGAAATCAATCGACGAGGTTGTGAAGTTACACCAATTGAGATGGTTAGGACATGTGTTACGCATGTCTAGCCATCGCCTTTCTCGACGGGCAATGTTAGCTAACATAAGATCAAGTTGGAAATGAGCCAGCTGTGGTCAAACCAAAATACTGCATCAGCCAATGAAATCCACAACAATTAGTCTAAGCCACGTAGTAAGGTGTAGACTCGCTTCCTGTTTGGTGGTCCTCGGGACGGTAAAAACCAATGAAGGCTGGAGACAATTGGTGACATGGCTCAGAATCGTTCTCAATGGCACAGATGCATCCACTCCTTGTGACTTATACTACTCAATAAAACTACATGGTTCTTCCATATTACTATTCTTTTCGCCATATATCTCTGTTTACTGTCTCTATTTTGCATTTCTTTTTACTTTCTTCTCTTGCTTTGTGTGCTACATGGAGTGTGGCGACTCAAACTGCTGCACATCGGTGCAAAGTTCTATGTTGAAACCAGTCAGTCAACAAGCGATACTAACATGAACGTGGTAGAAAAGAAAATAATTTTTCAGAACATTAGAGCTGAGCATTTTATTCTTTTCTCTCTAAAGTAGTTTGTTATTACCTGTAGATAACTGAAAATATCCAGATATTCAACAACGGACGTTAGATGCATCTGTAGGTGTATGAACTACTTAGTGTCATGTAACTAAGAATCTGCAATTTAAATTATAACACAACTGAGCCGTTTCAGTGGAGAACGATTGGGACTTTGTATTGTTCATATTACAGTTGCATGCTAATGCTTCTAATTGTTATTACACTGCAAAGTCTACTAAATCAAATTAGGGAGGCAAACTTGAGATAATTCATCGAAAACAAATACTTCTCTAGGGTGTGCTTATCCTAAGCATTTAAAAGTGAAGTAAACTGTAGTTGTGATTAATAATCGACAGAGTACCTAATCATCCAGTCCACCTGGAGTTTATCATCCCAACTCAAAAAAACTGTCTGCTAACGTTTTGATCGTAGTATTAAGTGGTGACCAACGTTCGAATCACTGAGAGAGTATCCGATTGGTGAAGTTTTCAGAAACGCTTCGCTGAAGAAGGCTAAAACACACGAACTCTACGCTCGGAACTTCATGTCAACTGCCCAAATTCAAAGCTGTCCCTTCCTAACTAGTTATTCACCAATACGTTTCCTGCTTTTCATTTAATTGACGTATAAGCCAGTGGAACGGACTGTCCTTGATTAATCTTCTCGTTTTGCTGTTGTTTTTTTTGTAATTCAGAATTGTGCCTGACTATGAGTAATGCCAGTCTATTACACAAAGGATCATCTGCACACAGTTATTCAACAAGAAAAGATCGAAAATCAAGAGCATCTTCTATATTTCGTTTCAAGAACAATTAATCTTGCATTTTCAGCATATATGTGTATATCTTATTTGACAATGTGCCTGTTATTAGTTTACAAAGAGTGATTCAATTCAATTCAATATGTTTATTTAACACATGCATGTCACTACACACACACAAACACACATCCATACATACATACACATGAAAATCACACTGGCTTTGAATTGCCTTTTCTTTTCATTATATAAGCATCTCGCTTTCTTTTCTTCAAAAATTTAACTTTTAAAATTTATATTATGAAACTGATTCGCTTTTTTTTAATGGAAAATAATAATAATAGACGCTTAAAAATTTCTGAGATACATTTTTAAAAAAAAAAAAAAAACAAATTAAAACATGTAGTATGTGTAAAATACAAACAATAAAAAAAAACAAGGGATCAAAACTAGAGCGAAAAGAGAGAAAAAGTAAGAGTGGATAAAAATGATGTATAAAAAAACGCGGGGGGTGGGGGCAGTATATAAAACCAGAAAATAAAAAGACAACAAAAAAAAGAAAAAAATATTTTCTATGCTTACAAACTTTTGTCTTCTTTCACAAAGAATAAAAACAAACAGGATCAGGGAGCGGGGGAAGGGGGACTAGTGATAAAATTAGTAATTACTTATATATTATTGTGGTTGTTGTATATTATAACACAGATAATATTAGTAATATTATTGATAATAATAATAATAATAATAATGACTGATACATACTGGGATTTAAAATTTCGGTAAAAACACTCTGAACACGCAAATACATACATACAAACATACATACATATATGTATATTGTTTATATATTGCACAAGTTTTTGAATCACATTATTAAGATGACTGTATTATTATAAAATAATAATTAAGAAGATGAATCATTGATTGTTGATAGTCCTTGTTGTGTTTCGTGAAGTGTAACAGCTGGACATGTGTCAGTCGATTGTTTGGAATCGTTAAGGTCAGTAGATGAGGGAATACTAGTATCTTGGTTTTGATTAACACCTTGATTTGAAGTAGTATTTGGTATTCCAACTAAAGGGAAGTGGATACCATGACAGCAAGTTATTGGAGCACCACGAGCATGTCTGTTAGAACATGGCAGTATTGATTTTGAAGGAGTAATATTAGGACATCCTGTCGTTGATGAGATACTTGCGTTCACCGAGGTTGCAGTAGAGGTAGTCATAGTTTGATTTGTTGTAGTAGATTGTGCTTCTACAATAACAAAAAAGCATTTGTGAATCAACAAACTGTAGAATTAGTTAATTATATTTATACTAGAAAAATATGATAGTCAAATAGCTCACGTGTAACTGGGGTAGAATCGGGTACGCGTGATTCCATATTGGCCGATGGGGATGCTTCTGAGCTTGGAGGGGAATTCGATGTATGCAGTTTATTAACCTTCTTTGGAGTTGTTACAGTTTCGTTCACTTCATACGCAGATCCACAGACTGTAGGAGTTAACCATGGGAACTCAACACAAGGTGGTAATAATGAACCATCTTGAGCAGCATAACAACGACAAGGTTGTCTACTTCTCCATCGGCAATCATAAGCAATTAATTCTTCAGTTGATCTTCCATCGCTAGGAATACCAAGTCTAGCTTGCAAAAATCCTGGCCAAGGTATGTTATGCTACATAACAAAAAGATTTAAAAGCAATCGTTGCCAGTAAATTATGGGATTCATATACACTGAGAACTACGGGTTAAATCAGAAGTGAATTTTGAACTGCTAATTTAGGTTTATTTTTACCAGCATAGTTTGTAAGAATTATAACAAAACCTGCAAAATTAATCAGGGAATTCAGACAATAGAAAACACTGAGAAAGCTTGATCAAGATTTATATATTTATTGACCTTGATTCCCTTGACTGATAGGTAATGTTCAACAGTAGAAGGGGTTCCGAGAAGTATATTGTGTGCAATTATTCTGCTCAAACTCATGAAGTTATATATGCAAGAGGTTATAGAGAGTTATCGTAAACAAAGAAAAGTAGTGATGTCCGTCAGGGATGCTCAATGTCTCAGTTTATGTCTTATTTCGTGATGTACTAATAAATGTGAACCTAATCGACTTTAGCGACTCTGGGATTGACTTGTTACCAGGAAACAGATTCGTCGACTGAAAGTATGATCTCCAAAGACTCCTGGATCAAAGATACGGAGTGAAGTGGCTGATTGTTGATCACTACACTTATTTGGGAAGTTGGATTAACCGTGATCCATTGATTCCTGTAGAAATCTCAGCACGTAAATAAAAGAATCATATGGTATTGACCAATTTACATCATATCTGGTGTAGAAGTGATATACGACTATTCATCAAAGAATGTTTCTAGTGCTCATCACTTGACTCCATCCATCTTTATCGCTGTGAGATATGGTCGTTGGAAGTGAAAGACATGAAAGCGGCTAACTGTCTTTGACCATATATGTTTGCATTTTATCTCTTTTGTTCAGTTGTATAATATGGTCAGTAATAGAGCGGTTAGGCGTAGAGTGCCATGTAAGGAGGAAAAGTCAATAGTTGAGGTTGTGAAGCTACGCTAATATGTGTGTTACGTGTGACAAGCGATCGACTTTCTTGTCGAACAAAGTCAGGTGATATAGAAGCTTGTCGGCAACGAGTTAAGAGTGGTCAGTCTAAAGCCTGGAATACATCTACGACGTCTCCAGCCTTTCCACAGACAGCTGATTTGACCCATGCAAGGTGTGGTAGACTGCCTGGTTGGAGTCCTTGAGACGCTAAGAACCAATAGCTTTAAACAAGTGGTGATATTATGATTCAAAGTTTTTCTGAATGGTTCAAATGTAATCTCCCATATCCGTTAAGTCCTGTTGTTCTTCTAAGTTATAATTCTGTCTCCCGTACATTTCTGCGTGCATTATTGTCCTTTTGAATTTTTTCCTTTCTCTACCTCAGTTATATGGAGTGTAGCAAATTGAACTGCTGTACACATCTGCACAAAGAAGTTCTACATTGAAACTTAGTTAGTCAAAATAGCTAGTCGCGATTACAGAAAAGGGAGGATGTTGGGCGTCAGGGTAAAACACTGTCCACACTAAAGTATTATTTCCTTTCTAGATGACAACAGTCAAGTTTGCAAGTTAGTATGATACGAAGCAAATTTATCAACAAAAGTAACTAAGAATATTGAAAAATATTTGATAAGTTTTAGGCATATTAATATTTTTTCGCCTAAATCAATTTTGTAGTTTTCGCTGATCGATTTATATTGGACCAAAGTGTCCGATCTCCGTTGACATGTCGGCTCCTAGTGCGGACGATGCTTCGGTGATTTCTGAGGAGACTAGCAGACGAGGGCAGAATGCTTTAACGTTTGAAACAATGGATGATATCTTTGAGTATTAGTGGAAATGCCACCACACAATGAAGATTGCAGGTACATCCAACTGATGAGCCTCAAATAGGGCGAAACGCATATACTGAATTCCACTGTTAGTCCCCATCCACCAAATCATATCAGTATTTTTTGTTTGTTTTTCATACGCTTTATTTCAATCACCAAACAGATTTGAATTTCAATAATAATTGCCCCATTATCATTAGTTCTACTATTTCCTTCTAGTCATTACTCTTTATTTTTTAATTGCAACCAATCACGGGGATATTGCTTATTTTAACCTATTCATTTTTCACCAGTAAATTCATAGTTCCCCTAGTTTTCAAACACTTTTTTTGACTCGTTGACGCTTGTATGGTAATAAAAATTTAAAAAATAATAATAGCATTACCTGTAAATGTAAATCTAAGAGGATTTCAGGAGTAATTTTAGCTTCACGTGCAAGATATTCACGACAATGATAACATGGAGAGATTAAATAGGCCGGTAGTTCAATTTGATGCAAGTAGTCATGTGTATCGCATAGAGCACAATATGAATTACGTGGAGCAAGTGAACCAACATCTAAGAATAAGGCGTTCTCAGAATCAGCGGTCTTATTTCTATTTTGACCAGGATCTTGATTTTCTTTTGTTCCATCTGTATCTGATACACCAACTGATGCTTCACGTGGTGTAGGAGCTGAGTAAACAGTAATAGTAATAATAATAATGCAGCTAATAAAGATATATATCCATTCATTGAACTAAGAAAAGGCGTGCATATTTAAAAGAGAGATGGCCAGAAAGGTTAGGTAACAAGGAACTGCGGCGAGGAAAAAGCAATTACTTATCATAGCATACTTACCGGTGTCCAACACTTGCTATATTTCCTGACCTAAAGGCGGAATTCGACTGCTTCCACTGAGAGATGTTGTAGCAATGTTGATGAGAAAGTACATCCCACTGATCAAAATTCTCCACTCTAACTGACGAAGCCGTGTTAGAGCACATGAAAAGTTGTAATCTGAAGGAATGACAACCAGTGGTGTCCGTCAGTGGTACTCACTATCCCCATTTCTTTTTCATTTTATCAAAGATGTAATACTAGAATTAGCCTTAACTGAATTCAGAGACTCAGCGAATAAGTTTTATCGGGAAATTATCTTGTTCACTCAGAATATGCGAATGTTATAGTCCTTCTACTAGGTGGAGACACTGATAAAATGCAGTCTTCTGAACACCTTGAGCGGTAATGTTAGAATATTTTGCATGCGAATATCTCCTGTTAAATGTTATTTAATGCTACAGGATTGGACTAAATCGACTCGTAGATCAAAGATAGGGTGAAGCGGTTGGGCGTGTTGAGAAATTAACTTCTTTGATACGTTGCATCAGCCCCAGGAGCGTGATTGCTAACGAAATCTCATCACGGATACAAAAGGCTCGTACAGCATTTCTTGACCTCTGGCATCTCTGATGTAGACAGGATATTCGGCTGGCTATCGATCATAGGATGTGGATACTGCTCATCAGTTCGCTCCTCCCTCCTTCATGACTGGCTGTGAGACATGGCCATTGAAAGTGGAAGACATGAAAAGATTGGCTAGCTGTCTTTGACCACAGATGTTTGCATCCCATCTCCCATGTTGGGCTGTATAATAGGATGAGTATTACTGAGGTTAGACGTAGCGTTAGATAAGTAGGGAAAGTCAGACGATGAAGTTGTGGAGCTACAGTTAGTTTGAGCCACATAGGGAAGTGTAGACTGCCTAGTTGGGGTCCTTGGAACGGTAGGAACCAGTGGCTGGAGAGAATTGGTGTTATGGATCAAAATCGATGTCAGTGGTGCAGAAGCCTTTAATCATTGTGACCTGCCATATCCACTAAATCCTGTTGTTTTTCCATGCTATTACTGCATTACTGCTTGTTATCGTTCTTTCGACACTCTTCTATCTCCCTTTAGTCTTCCTTTGTATGACAGACACATGGAGTGTGGCAACTCAAAATGCTGCACTCCTGTGTAAAGTTCAATGTTGAAACCAGTCAGTCAGTCAAGAAATAGGAGATAGATTGAGCATAAACTGAGCAGACCGTTAAGTGACATAGCGCGTTAACAGTTAAGTATGTCTCTCTCCCTCTGTGTGAAGGCGGGGGGGGGGGAGGAGAGTACTAACACATAAATAAATAATTCGGAAATTTTGTTTGAAAAGTATTCAAGACATTAACCATTACTTTTTGATGAAGAGACCATTGGAGATAGTCTTGATGATTGTAGTGAATAGCAATTGAGCTTTACAAATCTCAGTTGGCAACTAGAGTTCAAATCATACGATGTCAACTAGAGCTTTCATTTCACTTTCAAACAGGCCATAATAATATAATGTTGTATTTCATTTTCAATGATGTTTCATATGAAGTGATGTGGTACAAACAGAATATATAATAAATTTCATCAATAATACATATAGTTGCATATATTGTATATCTACTGACAAGATGCTGACAAAAAGTGATGAAATTCTATGCAGTATTATTAAAACATACATACAGACTAGTTGAAACGTGAAAAAGAGATATAATATACCAGAATGAAAGATTTCGCATGGAACAAGTTTACAAGAATAATCAGGTTCTCTTTCCATTCTATCTATAAGACCTTAGCACTTCCACCTTGTCCCAACTATAAAGTCTGATACAAGTAATAACAATAATTAATAATAAGCTTAAGCAATGAAAGACAAAAATTGTGAATATACAGACGAGAAGTATGCAGGTAATATTTTTAAGACATAAACTAATACTACTACTATTAATAATAATTAATAATAATAATAATGCAAATGTTCAAACTCTTTTTCGAAGTAGTATCCAATACGAAGTACATATATGATCAACTGCAGTAATAAGACTCATTGGCTTAAGCACTCGACTTCCGACCAGTGGGTCTAGGGTGTAGATCCTCTTCTCTACATAATTTAGCCTGCACAACTGGCTACCAAGATCAGTCAGTCCTGTTTCAACCTACTTCTGTTTCCTCTGAAAAATGCTCGTCGAGGGAGGTGGTGGTTCCAGCAAGCGTAAAACATTTCATAGCCCCTCCTCAATCGATTCAACCGCACTCTCTCCCAGATTGATTTTATCTCCTCTTTATCTAACAATCAACACTTAAATCCATTATTACTGACCATATTACTCCATCTAAAACGAGAGACTGAACGAAGCGAAGTATAGTTAAAAGCCACTAGTCTTTTTACGCCTTAAACTACCAGTCCCACATGCATTTTTTGTCAAGAGTTGATGACTTGCATGGAATTACCTAATAGCCAGAAAGAATTAGTAACAAGAAACTATGGGAACAAATCAACCAAGAGGCGATTGCTCAACAAAAATATGTAGGAGAAAATGGAGATGGATCGAGCATACATTGAGGAAACCATCGAATGATATCGCGCGCCAGGTCATCACTCGAGTGGAATACAAATAGGGAACGACGAGTGGGTTATCATGTGACGGTAATATGGAGGAGATCGTGTGAGGAGGAAATGAGAGATAATAGGAAATCGTGAGGCCAGCTGAAGAGGATATCAGAAAATAGAACAAAGTGGAGATGTGTTGTTGAAGCCCCATGTTTCACTCGGAACGCAAGGGAATAATAATAACAATAATAATATAATGGAATTACTTGATTTTGTAGTACAAAGTGTTTGGAGAAGTCAGTCCATGTGAAATCAACGACGCTGTGACACTTAAACCTGAACTATCATTACAAATCGATGACACGCAGCTACGTTTATACCGAACCAAACTTATTACATTTCATTTTCAGAGAAAAAAATTGTTTATCTGCTCTGTTACACACACACACACAACGGAGAAAGATCGATATGGAACTAGTCCACTGTAATTTACGATTTATTGTGATTAATTAGTAAAAACGAACACTAGTGTAGCCTTGGCGGCCTGCTTAAATCTTGGGCTACCAAATACCTTAATCATTACAAATCATATTGCATCTAATTGCTCACTTCCAATTTTATTTTAAATAATTAAATTTTATTCTAATATGTCCTCTAATCGGATTATTTATCCTCGTGAGTATTTAATATCCTTAAAACCTACTGATCGGAAATGCCATAAAAAAGACAAAAAAAAGCATCACGCCGGGTGGCAAAGAGCCTTAAAAAACACCCCTATTCAATTTATGACCGTTCCTGCAATCATGAGTACTAACTGTCGCTCCCTGCCAGCCAAGATTAACTATCTTCAATCACTTGTGTCTTCCATTATATATCGAAATACTGGGATCATATCACTTCAAGAAACATGGCTACATGATCTGTACGATGACAATCTAGTGTATCTAAATGATTTCAAACTATTCAGACAAGATCGATGCAGTTCTAGGAAGAAACGTGGTGGAGGTGTCGCCATCTTCATAAATTCACAATGGTGTACATCTAATAAAGTATGTTTCAAATTCTCTAGTGACAACATTGACTGCCTCACCGTCAAATGTCGACCTAAGCATTTGTCAAAATATAACTACATATACATCTCGAACATTTATATTGCACCTGGATGCAATTCCACTGAATTGTCTTTATTTGCTGATGAATTTACCTCCTTTGCTGCCACCTCCTTCGGAAACTCGTTGTCTATTGTTACTGGAGATTTCAATTCTAGTGATCACAATTTCCTTATTTCACTTGGTCATGATAACATTGTCAACTTCCCTACTCGAATGGATAATATTCTAGATCTTGTGTTCACAAATGACATAGGAATATTTGAAGCTCGGAAAAGAGCCCCACTACTTAACTCTGATCACTGCATCATAAGAGTATTGCCCAAGGTATATGGAAAGCTGCACAAAAGGGTCTTCTCCCACCTTGGAAAGAAAACACAACACAGATGCTATTCACATGATAACATACAGAATCTAAGGACAATGTTAAAAGACACAAACTGGGACCTGTTTACTGAACAAGCTCTTGACAACACAATTAGTAACATAACACATTATCTCAATTTCTGTCTTGATGTTTGTTGTCCTAAAGAGACAATCTTCTTAAAGTTCGACCGTTTCGCCTCATCTCAACTCAAAAAGCTTCGCCGTCAAAAAGAGAGGTTATACAAAATGAAAAATAAATCTGGTGTTAAGAGAATAAACACTTTGATTAAAGCCGAATTACAAAGATTAAATGCTCTCTATAACCAGAAGTTTCTTTCATGTAAATCCTCATCTAATATGTGGAAGCTATTAAAGGAAATCACAGGTGGTAAGCAAATAATGAATGATACTTCTGTCGATGTTGATATGCTTAATAAATCCTTCATATGTATCCCTGCAGATGTTATGATTCCCAAATCTAATAGTATAAATAATGACTGCTTTTCATGTTTTAACACGAATGATGTCCTCAAGTGTCTTCAATCTCTCAAACCTACCCAGTCCCTTGGTCCTGATGGAGTTCCTGCTGTTATCCTTAAGAAGTGTGCTGACATCTTATGTTACCCATTAACTGACATTTTCAATGAATCTTTTTCCAAAAGTTTTATTCCTGACTCATGGAAAAATATCAAGGTTGTTCCAGTGCCCAAATCAACAAGTGGACCTACTGTCAAGTTTAGACCCATTGCTATTACCTCACCTTTTTTAAAAGTTATGGAAAGACTTATTTTACTTAATCTTGAACCCTCTTTAAAGCCTTTTAACGACCCCAACCAGTTTGCCTATAAACATAGTAGGTGTACCCTAGATGCCGCTGTAGTTCTATATCATAATATAGTCTCTAGTTTAGATAGAGGAGCCAAATATGTTCGGTGTGCCTTCCTTGATTACACATCTGCATTTGACTCTGTACCTAGGTCTCTCTTGTTAAGTAAGCTTGCTGCAACACAGAGTGAGAGCTGGATAAATAAGTGGTTGTATTCCTACTTTTCTGATAGGAAGCAGTACACTGTCTACAATGGAAAGTCCTCCTCTACCTCACTTACTTTAGCTGGTGTTCCTCAAGGTGCCGTTCTTTCTCCTTTTCTGTTTTCTTTTTTCTTACATGACTTGCCCCATTCTGATGTAGCCACTTTTGTCAAGTATGCTGATGACCTCTCTGTCTCCATGCCTGTCAACTCTCAGTCAGACTGTTCCATATTAAATAACTTTCTCTCGGAAATTAGTCAGTGGTCCTCTTCAAACGGTCTTAAGCTGAATCCGTCTAAATGTCAGGTAGTAAATTTTACTTTCAGACGAAAAAGTGACCTTCAACAACTAGCTAGCTCACATGGTCCCACTATCATTGACGGCATAGAGGTTGAAACTACATCAGATGTCAAGTACCTTGGACTGAGTATTTCCTCCGATCTTTCCTGGTCCTCTCACATCTTGCTAGTGACTAGAAAGATGTTTCGCTTAACGTTCTACCTTAGGAAGTTTAGGCAGTCTGGTATAAAGCAGTCTTTACTTTCTCAGTTTGTCAATTCCTGTATTCTACCCATCCCTCTTTACTGCTCCCCATTAATCTTTCCTGGACTACTTAAGAAAGACTTTGCTTCGCTGCATAGGGCACTAAAAGCTGTTAGTAGGGCAAGTGGGATTTCGTTAAACCAACTGGTTAACACAATTGTGGATAGACATATAATGTCATGTAAGAAACTAGCAAATTCTATATTGTCAGACCCCGAACACCCTCTCCATACGCAGCTCTCTCCTTGCATTTCATCTGGTAGAACTAGAAGCAACTATAGGAAGCTATATGCCAGGACTACCAAGTATAAAAACTCCACAATACCTTATCTGGCACAGCTGTTATGTGATGAGAAAACTGTTAGGCATGACATGATCAATTTACTGCGGCACTCTAACAAATAGTTCCCATTAGCTTTTGTTCTCCTTTCTTTGTTACTATTATATTGTTGCTCATATATTCTATTACAGACTAATTTTATATATCGTATCCTGTGGTGCACTGTTTAAATATGTGAATGCAATGCTGTTCTTTTTTATTTTATTTCTTTTATTTCTCTTTTTCTTTTTGTTGTTGTTGCTTTATATTTCTAAATCCTTATAAAATTTATGAGGTAATTAGATGCAATATTGTAATGAACGCTGAAAATTCCATACCTGTACCACAAATACTGTTTGGAATAAAGCCATTATTATTATTATTATTATATGCTAGCTACTCATAACAACAAACACAAGTAGTAAATAGTTTGATTTCTGTAAGAAAGTGATGATTGTTAGTTTATATTCGAAAGGTAAGAAACTGAGGATGAAGAAATAAGTGACTGAAAGTTGTTATACTGAAGAGAAGCAATAGGAAAATATTGAAGAACATAATCCTAATACAGAAAAGGAGATACTATTTGTTAATATTGGAGTGAATACAAGATTTAGTATTTTACCAGTGCTCAGTGTAATTTATTCTAATAAACACTTCATTCGTCCTCAGCAGCATTGTTTTCTGACTGACTGACTGACTGACTGAGCTTCAACATAGAACTTTGCACAAGCGCACAGCAGTTCAAGTTGCCACACTCCATTTAAACATGCGAAGATAGAGAAAACAAATTTAGAAAGTACTACACTGAGCAGAATGTACGGATAAAAAAATGGTGAGATGGAAAACAATGAGGGTTTAGTGGATAAAAGGGAGATTGCAAAGAGTGAATTGCATCAGCACCACTAAGAACCATTTTCAGCCATATCACGGATAATAGTTTCCAGAAACTGGCTCTTAGCATCCCGAAGACCCCTAACCAGGCAGTCTACACCTACCTCTCTACATGGCTGATTCAAACTATTTAGCCAAAAAATCACAATAACGCCTCTTTTTTATTCCCAGTGGAACACAGGGCTTTAAGCTAGAGCTTTGAATTTCTCGGTAGCATTTTTACGGGATGGAGTTGCTAGCCTCATGCCCTTAAAGAGGTATAGGAGTGCGTCGGCCAGAGATCGAAACCCCGAATCACATATATGGTTGGTGAGCATACTACCGCTGTGCCACCAACGGACGCACCAAAAATAACTCGGCGAAGTACAAGAATAGAGTCCCAGGATTGTAAATGTTCCAATGACCCTGAACGCATGCTAGTCATTGGTTGAGGAAGCTTACCATTATTCTAGCGCGAATAAGTGTGCGTACTGGTAAGTGACACTCTGAATTAATTGTCTTCTAGGAACTTTCTTTGAAAAGTCGAAACTGTTTTTGACGAATATCTTGTTTCTGTCCAATTACTGGGTTTTAAAGTCCGGGGTGCGATCTACTGCGGCTCAAACAGCTAATACGTTGACGTCTACTCTGCAGTGGTTTCAATTTTGTCGAGATTTAGCCTCGTGGAAGATGAATAGCATTACTCAGGTGTTGGGAGGAGTCGGTGTAGTCGTCCATATCGATGAAACCGTTCTTATCAAGAAGAAGTACAATCGGGGGCGTGCCAGAGCGAATAACGTTTGGGTTTTAGGAATTTATGACACCCAGATTAACAAAGGGTTTATCGAGCTGATTCCAGATAGGAGTGCTGATACACTCCTCCCTATTATTCAGCGTCTCGTCTTACCAGGCACCACCATTCACACAGATGAATGGGCAGGATACAACCGATTATCGCAACTGGGTTATATACATCATCGAGTCAACCATTCCGATGACTTCGTCGACCCCAGGACCGGTACTCATACCAATTCAATCGAAGGCTTCTGGGGAAGACTGAAAAATAGAATCAGAGCGATCAATGGATCTCAAAACGAAGTTGTTTTCAGTCACCTAGATGAATATATGTAAAGAAATTGGTTCAATTTAAAAACTGAAACCCCTCTACAAAATTCAGAGATTTTTTATCTCATATTAGAGAAAAATATCCTGTTTAATGTTTTTTATGTAAATATACGTAAAATTTTATGCAAAAATCGGCATTTTTCCTGATTGGTCGGCTCAAGGTCACTCGTGCGTTCGCATCCCTTGGGACTCTATTGTAGAACTTTGCCAATAACTCTAGGGGTGTGGAGAAGTGATCACTGATCACGATATTCAGTTAGATTATTTGGAGATTATTGTTTAACAAACTTCCTTCAAAAGATACACTTACTATCTTGAGTCTGATCTGCACAATGATGCACCTGGACTTGGTTAATGTGTTCAGCGCATGCCGTTACTTCATTAACAACTGCGGCAGGATTTTGACGAATAACCTCACCTCCATTCTTTGTGAAAAAGAAAAGAAAGACACGATTGGTAAGGTGCAAAATTAACGATGAGCATACATTAGAACTGTAAATCATTGAACAGAATATTTTGTTTGAAAGTTAGGCTTTCTAGTCGTAGACTGACTATATGAAGTCATCAGTTCTCACAGATAGGCAAATTCACACATAAGGAAGATCTTGGGATATATATATAATATATATATATATATATATATAGTGAGTGCGGGTGGAATACTGACATTACCATTGGAAGTGTGGATAGAGATAACGTCATTTACTTCAGACATATAAGGGATTATTGCTCTACTATTCTTTTTTTCAACTAAGTATGCGAATTTATTTTCTATACCTGGATAAGTAAAATTTAAGGTCTTCTGAAAGACGTGACTATAATAATAATATAATAATTTTAAAAAAACTATCTGTTTGGCATTTTGTGACTATTAAACGCTAATATCTATAATAGTATATATTGTTGGATTTACATGTCTAAGTCCACCCAAGTCAACAAGAGTCCATGGTTTTGATATCATTTTTGTTAACTGTTTCTTGACAGTTTCTTTGTTGTTGTCGCTGCCATTCTTGTTGTGAATTTTCTTCTTTCTGCTAGTGATGTTCTGATTGCTTTATTCCTTGTTTTCCTGATTCTAAGGGGAGCAACCCATAAAGTTGATCCTCTGTAAACTACATATATATGTATTAACCCTCTTCTCAGGCGTGAGGCTAGCAACCCCACCCTGTAAACAAAACTGTTAGAGAAACGTCAGCACGATGAGTCTCCTTGCGCCAAAAGAAAAAGTCTGTGTGGGGACATGGAATGTCCGCGCCATGTACTAGACTGTCAAAGCTGCGCAGATTGCAAACGAGATGAAAAGATACGGAATTCAAGTACTGGGAATATGCGAAAGCAGATGGAATGGGAGTGGACTTACCAAATTGTCAACGGGAGGGTCGATGATTTACTCCAGTCACCCAAAAGACAAACATTCACACCGAGGGTGTGGCTATCATGATGTCACCAACGGGAACGAAGGCCCTGATGCAATGGGAGGCGATCTCGCCCAGGATAATGACCACCAGATTCAACTCCAAAGGAAGGAAAGTGTCAGTTATACAATGCTATGCACCCAAAAACAACGCAGACTTCGAAAATAAAGAAGAGTTCTACAGACAACAATGGACAATACTCCAGTTGGTGATATTAAAATACTAATGGGAGACATGAACACCAAACTGGGACCAGACAACACAGGAAGAGAGAGAATCTCTCGGAGAAATGAATGAAAATGGAGAACTCTTCGCCGACTTCTGCGCCTTCAATGAACTAGTGATTGGCGGCAGCGTATACAACCATAAGGATATCCATAAGGCTACATGGGTATCACCAGATGGGCGAACTAAAAACCAAATTGACTTCATCTCAATCTCAAGGAAGTGGAAGCGCAGCCTACTGGACACAAAAGTAAGAAGAGGAGCAGACGTTGGCTCAGACCACTATCTCGTACAAGGAACACTCTAAATCAAATTAAAAGCTTTCAGAGAAGCAGGAGCTGCAGACAGACCACAAGACAACGTCAATACTCAAAAACTGAAGGATCAGGATACAAAGGAATAAGGTGGAGACACTAATCAACACTAGCGAAGAGGTTAGCGTCGAAAAGCACTGGGACAGCCTGAAAGCGGTATGGAGTCAAACCTGCATGGAAGTTCTAGGCAGAAAGAAGAGACAGGACAAACAGTGGCTCACTTCGGATACTTGGAGACTAACAGAAGAGAGAAGGATGGTGAAACAAAAGATTATCCAGTGCATCGACGAGCAACAAAAACAGGAGTTGAATGCGAACTACAATACACTGAACAAAAGAGTAAAGAAAAGTGCCAGAGAAGACAAAAGAAAGTATTATGAAACCATGGCAAGTGAAGCAGAACAAGCTGCAGGCAAAGGAGACCTCGCAACACACTACCAAACAACCAGGTACCTATTGGGCAAAAGTTTGACACAAATCAAGCCGATGAAGGATGACAATGGAAAGTCACTGACCAAAGAAGTGGAGTAACGGAAACACTTCAAAAGACTTCTAAATCGACCGCCACCTACAACGTGCCCAATAATACCAACAGCGGAAGCAGAACTACCAGTGGACGTCAACCTTCCGACGAAAACAGAAATCCTGAAGGCAATAAAGATGCTGAAAACTGGAAAAGCAGCAAGAGCAGACGGAATCCCAGCAGAGGCATTGAAATAGAACCCCGGGACATCAGCGGACTTGATGACACGACTACTGAAGAAGGTGTGAAAAGAGAGCAAGACACCTGCGGATTGGAAGAAAGGATACTTATTCAAACTGCCAAAGAAAGGGGACTTAGGTCAATGCAAGAACTGGCACGGATTTATGCTCCTGTCAATCCCAAGCAAAATACTCAGCCGCATCATCCTGGAGAGAATCAAACACGCCCTGGATGAAAAACTTCGACCGGAACAGACTGGATTCAGGAGAAACAAGTCATGCATTGATCAGATCGCCACATTACGGATCATCATTGAACAAAGCTTGGAATGGCAGTCACCTCTCTATCTCAACTTCATCTACCTTGAAAAGGCCTTCGACAGCGTCGATCGAGAGGTGATTTGGAAACTACTTCGCTACTACGCGGTGCCGCCGACAATTATACATCTCATCCAACAGCTATACGACAATGCTGCATGCCAAGTCATCCACAACGGGAAACTTACGGAATCCTTCGAAGTGAGGACAGGAGTAATACAAGCTTGCTGCCTACTATCGCCAATGATTTTCTTGATTGCAGTAGACTGGATAATGCGACAAACAGCGGGCAATGAGGAAACAGGCATAAAATGGACTCACAAAAAAAACTTGGAGGATCTGGACTTCGCCGATGATATATGTCTGATTTCCCACAAACTGGAAGATATGCAAGCGAAAAGCAACAAGTTAGCAGAAGAAGCATCAAAGATAGGAAGGAGTTCAGGTGAACATAGAGAAAACAGAGGTGATGAAGATTCCTGGGCAACACCATCAACAGCAACAACAGACAAAAATCAGCATAAATGGAAGGAACCTGAAAGAAACTACCTCATTTACCTACCTGGGAAGCATCGATTCAACTACAGGTGGACGGAACTGATGAGGATATCAAAGCGAGGATCGGAAAAGCAAGGCAAGCTTTCATTACTCTCAAGTCTGTGTGGAGATCAACAGCACTCAGCATGAAAAATAAGATCCGGAATTTCAACTACAATGTGAAGTCAGTGCTACTATTAGGATGAGAGACTTGGCGCCGCGTCACGAAGGGCACTTCGAACAAACTACAGACCTTATCAACAGCTGTCTTCGCTCAATACTCAAGATCAGGTGGCTGGAAAAGATCAGCAACAGGGATCTCTAGGAACGAGCCAACCAAGAATCAATTGTGCAACAAATATGCAGGGAGAAATGGAGGTGGATTGGTCATACTCTGAGAAAACTATCAAGTGACATCACACGAAGGGCCATCGCTCGAGTGGAAGCCGAAAGGGAAGCGGAGAGTTGGTCGTTCAAGGGTGACATGGAGGAGGTCGTGTGAAGAGGAGATGAAAGCGTGTAGGCAGACTTGGAGCCAGGTGAAAACTCTTGCAGAGAACCGAACGCAATAGAGACGTGAGGCTGAAGCCCTATGTTCCCCTAGGAACTAAAGGAAACAATAATAATAATAATTAAATTAAACCATAATGGAATTATATAAACGAAGTTAGAAAGTTGTACGGGTACCTTGTTATGATTATGACCAATAAATTGTCATCAGTAAATATTACTGTATAACACTGTGAGACTTTATCAAAATAAATTTTACCCATAATGGAATGCAACCTAAGATGTGCAGCTTGTACTGGAGAAGCCCGACAGAACGCCTACTCTGTTGCAGAAACCGAATTGAAGATAGTTGATAATCTACAAAGAAACATTTAGGAACAGCAAGTAGGCTTCCCTAAGGTGATTGATGCAAAGAGACCAATTCTGTTGAGAAATGAACGCGTTAACTTTTCAAAATACGAAATATGCGCATAAGACCATTCTTTAAATAAAAAGAGATGAGTAATTAGTTCTCTATCACCTTAAAAAACAAGAAAAAGAGACTTTTTGCTAATCTATTAATCCCTACTCTCTTGTTCAACGTAAATTGACTAGAAGGCTACATCAGGATGAAAGTAGATTTAGTGAGAAGGAAATTGGCACTGGTCAATCGCAGCTTGTTTCACGTCTCAAAAAGTATCATGTCAGGGGTAGTGGATAGTCGAAAAAGATAGAATTTTAACAAAATACCAAAATTTAGTCATTTTCAACAGACACGGACACTGAACACAAAGATGGATTGGAGGATAAACAAAAAAGGCGTATAATAAATCATTGATGCAAGAATACAAACTGGGCGCTGTTGTAGAGTAAGTTTATTTAATGAAGTCTCACAACATTAGATAGTATTGTTTTACTGATGACGTTTTGAGCACAATTTATTGCTCTTGATCACATCAAGGTGATATGATGATTATGAGCGATAAACGCTGTGAGATTTTATCAAATAAATTCACTCTATGATGGAAGTATAATGAAACAAATTGTAATGACGACGACAACAACAACAACAACTACCTGTTCATGTTTAGTGGAGCTAGCTTGTGAACTATCCACTTTCGGTGTGACTGACGACGAGTGTACTGCATGCTTAGATGCACCAGAATCAGTAGAAACTAAAAGTTCCTTTGCTTGTTGATGAAGGTGTAGAGCGGCGAGTTTTTCGTGTAACTCAAGTGTATCAAAATTACTTTGTCTAGTTGCAATCGGTCTGAAAAAAAAAGATAAGATAAAATAGCATATATTTAATATATAGTTGAAGGGTAAAACACTTTACAGTCACATTTGTGTGGAGATGTGACCCACTGGCTTAAGAAATCGACTCTAGGCAATGAGTCCCTACATACTTTAAGAGTAGACAACTGGGTATTACCATAAGTCCCTACAAAAAGTGTGGCTTACATTGTCGTACATGAACAACATGTTCCGCGGAACCAAGTTATTTTATCGTATTACAAACTTCTAGCTATACTAAGATGTACCTAAAATTATCCTAGACGTACTAGTACGCTGGAAATGTATCAGATTACAAATGATTAGAAACCCCGTACACTAAATATGCAATATAGATGAACATACTATCAAAGATGGACTCAAACAGATCACGTAGCGATAGACTGTCGATGTAAAGTGTAGGTAAAAGACTACCCCACACCTGTTGGAACCTCTGTGTAGACTGCAGTCACGTATTGGTCGATGAAGGTATACACCCACGGCTACTGAACCTGAGTAGAAATCAGGCAGCTACACTTCCAGCTTAATGAGAACACAAAGTCTTTATTTAGGGAAAAAATAACTAAGAGTGTATCCGAGATTAACAACAAGATTCAGCCTGAGAAATCATAGTATAATATACAGTCAGCTATGGAAATCCTGGTTAAGGATGTAGATAGCCTGGAAAAAAGTTAGTGGGTTTCTGTTAGCTAATGCGAATTGATAAGCGCTAGAAAACTGATTCCGGAGGCCTCCAAGCGTGACGTGGAGACAAAGATGCTCAGACGCAAACTGACCAAAAGTTTGTACGAAGACTGAGAACAGTGGTGGGCAACAAAACGCGAACAAAGGACTTGGGGGAGGCATTGGAGGAGGGGGATTCCAGACTACTATTCGGACTTATTAAGGAAACAGGTTTTAAAAAGTAACTAACAAGCAAAACAATGTTCAAGAAGAACAGTGTTTCGACTACCTCTCAGGTACGCTATTAGAATTTTGGAGAGAACACTGAAAAGAAATCCAAATACCCTAAAGCCCAGAATTCAACATCTACCTGTGTAGTATGCGAATATCGGAGCAACAGTTGTCTCTAATCTAAAAGGAGACAAGGCAGAGCGACCTGAAGGCAACAGCCCGGAAGTGTTTAAGGATAGTGGAGATGAATTATTGACTAGGTTAACTGAGATATCACGTAATGTACAGGAATCTAACGCAGTTCTGTTGGGTGGGAGAAAATCATTGATTTATCCCAGCTTATAAAAAGAGAGACACATCTTCTTGTGATAATCATCGGGGATTGGCTTGACTAAAATAGTACGTCGATTTTGATGTTCAGTAACCATACGTAGACTGAGTGGTGATCAGGAGAATCGAACCCGTCCAAACCAGACAGATTCAAAGCCCGGAAGAGGGTGTATTGATGATATCTTAGCTCCTCGACAGATTCTGGAAATAGACATAATTACCGGCGCCCAAAAGTTGCTATGCTTCTTGACCTTGACTTCTTTGACCGGAATATAGTGCGGCAATATCTTAAGGTGGAGGGGGTTCCAGTAAAGTGATTGGCGCTAGTCAAAGCATTCAATCCACTCGAACTCTGCCATGTAGGACGTTACAGAGCGTTGCTGTTTCAAGTAGATAAAGACAACCACTGGTGTTTGACAGTGATGTTCAGTGATTCCAGTTTTGTCTAATTTGATGACCGATGTACTAGTGTGACCGTAATTGACTTTAGCAACTGTAGGACGGACTTGTCACTAGGATACAGTCTCGTCAAATTAGATCATGTCCTTCTGGTTGCCGTAGGCACCTGGTTCAACGATAGGGAATGAAGTGATTTAGAGTGTAAAGAGATTCTGACGCTACACCGATTGACAGGTCTAGGATATGTGTTATGCATGACAAGCCATCGCTTTTCTTTTAGGTGTGATCACGGATAGGTATCAGTTAGAGAACCACTGAAAACCAAGGGGTACTGGACAGCTGCTTCATCCTGGTTTGGGACTCATCAGCAGTACGGACCCACCGGGTTTCGAACCTAGAACCTCTGGCTACAATGCAAGCCCGTAGACCATTCAGCCAGTGGGATCCGACTAAATGGCAAGACCATGAAGTCTAACACCTATAAATTTGTCATTTTAGAGCGACCACTAGCTGATGTCACCGGCGAGTATATATCCTCACTCCTCTGACCGAATGAACCCAAGTGGTCACGATTATTCATCACAACTCTAGGTACCTCCATCCTGCAGTCACTCACCAGTGAGCATCCAATCAGTTCTCCAGAGTTTGTTTGTAAAGATTTGATTTATTTCTCTGCTACGCACACTCCTACATTGAAACCGAGTTAGTCAGTCAAATAAAAGAATGCTTCACGTACAGGACTACAACATTACGTGGAAGAGTCTATCCAGCATATGGGTTTTGTATTCAGACTACTGAATATTACATTTTTAGTTGATATCATATCAGAGAAACTAACACTTTACAGAAAAAGAGTATTCAGTAAACCTAAGTCAGTGAAATAGTTTGCCATACATGCATCAGTATTTGTAATCTTAATAAGGCTTAATTTTTTCAACTGTTTACTGGAATCATAAAATAGGTGTACTCTTAATTATACTACATAAGGAGTTATATATATATTGGCAAAAAACAGCATCAAGAAGTAGAACAACACGAAAACAAATACAATTTATGATGTGCATAATATAAATGTTAGATAGATATATATGTAAGACAGAATAGATATTACCCAGGAAATTGTAATTCACCATCGATAAGAGCACAATTATGTCTTGCTAAAGCGAGTAATCTAACTAGATTGGAACGATCAACAGGGCTTAAACACTTTGAAGCTTCAAATAAATCAGCTACACGTTCATGATCATGCCATTCATAATCGAATACTTGTACGTATGTCTGTTAATATACAATAACAACAACAACAACAACAGCAGTAATAAATAGAGGAAACAGAAACATTATTCTTTTATAACACAAATATAAATGTGGTAATGATTCATGTTAGCTAACGCAATAATTCCAACAGAGACTGAAGTATATATATACCGTTATGCACTGATCGGCATTATTAAAGAAATACATTTTTCAAAAGTAATATTGGTACTTTTTTCCCTTCACGTTCCCAGTGGAACATAGGGCTTCAAGCTAGTGGCTTGAAGTTTCTGTAGCAGTGTTTATTTTTACAGGATGGAGTTGCTAGCCTCATGCCCAAACTTTCCTCTTTACCAGCATTATTTCTGGCTCAGCGAGGTAAAGGAGTGCGTCGGCCGGGGATCGAACCACAATATTGATACTAATTAGCATTTTATGTTTAATGCTACACAAACTCGAAGACCTACATGCGAAAACCAACAAGTTGGTAGAAGAACAAGCAGCCAAGGCAGAACTTTAGAGGAACATACAGAATGACGAGGTGATGTAGATACCCACCGATCATCAACAACCACAAGCACCGATCACTGTCAACGGAAGATTCAGACAGCATCGTTTTAACTACAGGCGGCACAGATAAGGATTTCAAAGCCACACAGGATCAGACCTTCATTATTAATCTGAAATCAGTCTGGAAATCTGCTGCAGTAAGCATGAAGAACAATAACACCAATGTCGAGTATATAGTGTTCAGAGAATTGGTGTGTCACGAGAATTTTGAACCAGCTTCAGCTTTTTATTAACAGCTGCATATACTCAATGCCGAGAGAGTATTAACAACAAGGGATTCTTGGTATGAACCATCCAAGAAATTATCACTCAAAACAAACATGCAGAAGAAAATCACTTGCCACGCTATCAAGTGGAACCCGAATAGGAGACGACAAATAGAAGTCGCGGGTCGACATGTGTTTGGTGATGACACAGCTCACGGACCAATCGAGGAGAGCCAGAGTCAAAGGGGACTGGAGAAAACAGAATGAAATGGAAATGGGCTGTTCACGCTCTATGTTCTGCTAGGGAATAATAATTGACTGTAGTATTTACTTCAATACATGAGACGTCAAGGTAATGCTTTCTGTTAACAATGAATGAACTCACTGATTCATAATAACTCTTGGCAAAAGCTGTATACAGCAGCTGGCTGTTTAAGAATTAACTGTCCTAATAATTACTAATATTATTATGAATATTTGAATACATAGAAACAGACTGACAATACTCGTTGCTTTGTGTAATTTTTCAAAGTACCTTAAGAAATACCAATTTAACGTGGTAAATCCCAAAAGATGAAATCTTCTAGTTTATATTTCAAATGCAAGTTAAACGAAAATTTCCAGTTAGCTGGGCAATGAATAATGTGAAATTTCAACTCGATAAATGTATATCTAGAATGGTGATAATTTTCTATCGATACAGAAAAATGGAGTTAAGGTTGATGAATTGACTAAGTCATCCAAAGCAGGGTTGTAAACTGATGAATACATAAGCATAACAATTAAAGATGAGGATTGTTTCAGAACTACTTTTAATCAGCTCTATTTAAGGAATCTTTCAGACCAAATCTCTCCATAGCGCATAGCTGAAACAGTAGTGAAACTCGAAAAGTCGTCAAGCCAAAGCTGTATCTTAAAAAGTACATTCAACCATTTGTCTTTGTTGTGTTCAGCATAACCAGTTTACTTTCTTAAATTATTTACATCTTTCTCATTTGTAAAGCATAGTTATATAATACTGTGACGACAGAAGACAACGGCCAGGCAACAGATCGTTTATTGAATGAATCAAGAGATATTTAGAGATTTTTATGTACATTGCTGTCAGCGGAGAAGCAACGTCTTCTGATTGTTTGTTTTCTTGCTGGAGGTTATTCTGTACTGATCGTGACCGTTTCTCAGAAAGTTAAGCCATATATCTGCGAATCCTATTAGCACACGTCAAGTCTGTTGTGATTCGCTGGTGAGTTCCTCAAGGTTAAGCTTCGTTATTGTTTTTCTCATGACCCTGATTTGGGACGTAACATTGACGTAAATTGCTGTCTACAATTTTGGCTTGCGGCTAGCTCTCACCACAATACAACTCAATTTTTCGATAGGTCAGTTATGCTGAAGTCTCTATACTGTTTTGACATATACTCATGAATGTACAGTCTAGTTGTTGATTTTATCAAGAAGACATTTTATATAATTTTTGTATTTCCCAATGAACGATATTCCTTTTACTGACGTCTCGCTACTTAATGCTAATTTTTTTCATTCCTTTACGTTCTCAGTGGAACATAGGGCTTGAAGCTTGAGCTTTGAAGTTTCAGTAGCAGTGGTATTTACTTTTACAAGATGGGTTTGCTAGCTTCATGCCAACCTGCCCTCTTTAAAGGAGTGAGTCGGCCGGCGACCGAACCCTGAACCACCTGCGTGGTTGGTGGGCATTCTACTGTTGTGCCACCGACACACTTAATGCTAATAGCTTTATCGAAGTATTATTAAACCAAAATTTACAAAATCTCAGCATATATATATATATATATAACAACTTAATCATCGTTCCTCAGTATGGGGTCATTTTTCGTTGTCAAGTTGACCAATTGGTAAAGATAACAAAACCAGGTGTAGATTGTTGGATTTGATAAGTGTACAAAATTATGAAAGCAGCGTGTATTTACATAATGAAATCGCTTCTCACATTCGCTATGATTTTGCCAATTCATGAGGGAGAGGGGGGTTGCAACCAGGTTAAATCCTGTTTTAGTCCATCATTCCTATTCAGACATTTTTATACTGTGAAATTTCTATAACTAAATAGGTACATTACGCTTCTTTTTTAAATCGAGGTGAAAGAAAAGGAATAAAATAGCTTTGGACAAGAATGTACCCGAAAAAGAAAGATATTTACCTCTCTTTTTAAACGATCTTCAACAAACCACATTTGAACATAAACTTGCCAACGACCTGCTCCAACATACAAATACTGACAATGAGTGAATAAAGCTGGATGGTTCGGTGCACGTTCTGGAGGATTGACGTGTACAGTCTGTGGTTCATAACGTTCAACTGGTTCTACAACACGTTTCTCATCCTCATCGTCGTCATCATCGCCATTATCATCGTCTTCATCATCTTTATCATCATCTTCATCGACATCACCATCTTCTTCTTCAGGTTCAGGGCTAATATTCTCGTGTTTTTCTGATACTGCAGAACCACTTATTGTATTCGCATCTACGGCTTTTTCCTCAGTTAAACCAATAGTATCACTATTAGTCACTTCTTTTTGTTGTTGTATGTCAACAGAAAGATCAGATTTCGCACTGAGTGGAGATTTGCGTACGGGTTGAATTGGTTCATCTGGTGGTGGAGCTAAACATGTATCATCTTCACGGGTTTCAAGTGTATTTTGACCACGAATTTCCTAACAAAAAAGATAGAACCATATGAAATAGTCAACTTCTTGTGTTTATTAATAAAAAAGATCTGATTAAAAATATTAGCATTCAATGAAGCCGAACTCCGAACCACATACGTGGTCGGTGAGCATTCTACCGCTGTATCACCATTTACGCCTGTAGTAAGATTTAATTATCATCTTCCTCCAAACCACGAAATGGCAGATTTAAGATATCATGAGTCACTGGGCGCCAGATGAGTGGATGTGAACTGGCGCATTCACCATGATGCATGATGAAAGTGTTCCAGATTTTGAATGTTGTTACAAAGTGGATTCCTCAAATACTTCACAGACTTAAGAGAGACATGTGTCCATAACTGTTCAGTTGTTAATGAATCTTCAGTTAGTGGGTGTAAGTATTGGACCACATTTACATTCACCTACTTTATGGCATGTATTTCAGATACTGATGGTGACAATGTGTAGGTCACAACAATGATGAGTTAGATTACACCAATATCCCGACCGAAAGCTGCTACCTTGACGTGGTGGTCGGGCTTGAACACCACAATGACCCAACAAGCTATACTGGCTGAGACTTATGTTCCTGTAGGTCCTACCATGCCAGAAAGGTTGTTTGGATAGCGGTTAGACAAAAAGCAGCTACCCAGTCCGATGCTATGACTCAAACAAAATCACAAAATATCATGCCGGATCGGTCGGGGCCCGGATTAACAACGACCGCGCTTCCTGCTGCCGTGTCACATGGCAGAAGTGATAAATATGCTACTGAGACACACCAAATGAAAAAGAACAAACAAAAACAGGCCGTGTGTGACCGGCCTCAAGCAGTTGTCCCCTGGGCTCTGCGGTCACGCAACCAACTTCCACGGTGTGGGCAGCCGGGAAGTAACAATCGCCCTCACAATCCGAAGTGCACGCGAAACCCCTCTAATCCTCGCTCATCTTTGTCTTCATCTTCATCTCTATTATCTTGCCTTCCTTCTACTAATGCAACTCCTCTACTTGATGGCTCTTCACTTCCTCTTCACTCTGTGTGCACTGAAAACGACGGAAGCCAAAAAACCACCATCGATAGTCTCCTAAAGCCATGCCACCAATTTCATATAGGAGCATTTAATGTTAGGACACTTTGCCAAATAGGACAACAAGCATCACTAGCCAAGACTCTGGCATCCCGAGCCATTGATGTATGTTGTGTTTCAGAAACACGCATACAAGACCCAAGTGTGGTTATTCACCTAACCCCACCTGGCCAACAGGATGAATCTGCAAAATTCACCTTGAGGGTGTCAGGAGATGCGACGGCTAGCTCACGAGGATTAGCTGGTGTTGGGATAGCTTTGAGTACTAGGGCAGAAAAGACATTACTTGACTGGATCCCGGTAGATAGCCGAATGTGTGCTGTCCGTCTGAACGGATCAGTGAAAAGGAGAAAGGACTGCACTACTCGCCGATGCCTTTTCGTAATCTCCGCCTACGCCCCCACTGACTGCAGTTCGGATGAAACGAAGGATGAGTTCTACCAAAAGCTGTCTAGTTTGCTGCGAAAGGCTAAACGCTCAGATATAGTCGTTTTAGCTGGTGACTTTAATGCTCAAGTAGGGAAATTGTGTCAATCTGAGAAGAATGTCGGTGGCACATACGGAATTCCGTGCCAGCGAACCGACAACGGTGACCGTCTCCTACAGTTCTGTTCAGATAATCATTTGTTTCTTGTAAGCACTAACTTCAAACACAAGGAGAGACACTGTTTGACCTGGCGACCCCCATCATCAAACCAACGCTGGACACAAATAGACCACATAGCAATAAGCTATCGTTGGCGTGGGTCGGTAGGAGATTGTCGCTCCTTCTGGAACACGTGTGTAGATACCGATCACGCACTGGTCCGCGCTCGTGTGTGCTTACGACTGAACGGACGTAGGAAACAGCTAGCGGTAAACCCATCACGTCCCCAGCTCGATCAGGAAACTAAGTCCCTATTTGAGGAAGAACTAGCTAAACACATTACTGAGTTCGACAGCTGCGCTCACCCTGAAGAAGCCTGGAAAAACATTCAGTCAGCCATAGATACAGCTGTAAAAGCTGTGAATGAGGTAAATACAAAGGTGAGTAAAAACCATTGGATTCCGACTGCCTCATCCGAACTGATAGATGCTAGAAGACTTATTCCGGCGAGCTCCGAATTCAATGAGGAGCGAAAGCTGCACAAAAGGAAACTTACGAAAAGTCTCCGCAAGGACCGTGAACAGTGGTGGTTGACAAAGGCGAAAGAGATGGAAAAAGCATCGGCGATAGGCAACACTAGGCAATCTTTAGACTCATTAGGAAAACGGGTGGGAGAAGGCAAATCATAAGTGAAACTATTTCTGAGAAAAATGGCTCCTTAATTAGCTCTCAGGATAGACGCCTTGAACGCTGGAAAGAACACTTTGAGGAACAATTTAACTTGCCTACAGCCACACTGAGCCCCCCCCCGCCATCCAGCACACACCCGAATGGGATATAGACACTGGCCCGCCGTCTGTAAGTGAGGTCACAAAAGCTATCTGTAATCTGAAACGAGGCAAAGCGGCAGGACCCGACGGAATTATTCCGGAGGTGTTTAAATATGGGGGTGACATACTAGTATATAGTTTAACTAAGGTACTAGGTAACGTCTGGGAATCAGAGACGGTCCCATTAGAATGGGGTAAGTCACTTATTATACCAATATTCAAGAAGGGAGACAAGTCCTCATGTGATAATCATAGAGGAATCAGCCTGACGAACATAGTCTCTAAAATCCTAGGCTCAGTAATCATGCACAGACTAAGCCGAACTCGGGAGGAACAAACGAGGGAAAATCAAGCGGGCTTTATGCCAGGTAGAGGGTGCATAGATCTTATCTTCACTCTCCGACAGATCCTAGAACATAGACACACTTTTAGGCGTCCAACAATTGCCATATTTCTTGACTTGAAGGCGGCCTTCGACTCCGTGGATCGAGAGGTACTATGGCAATGTTTGACTGTGAAGGGAGTGCCAAGAAAGTACATTGCACTAATCAAGGCACTCTACTCAAACTCACGTAGCCGTGTAAGGGCTTATGGGGAATTGTCATCTGAATTGATAACAACCAGTGGTGTCCATCAAGGATGTCCACTTTCCCCTTTTCTGTTTAACTTCATCATAGATATGCTAATGGAAGTATCCTTAACTGAACTTAACGACTTAGGAATCGACTTGTTACCAGAGAATAGTCTTATGGACTTAGAATATGCAGATGACATAGTCCTGTTAGGGGAGGATGCTGACAAAATGCAGAGTCTTCTGAACACCTTGAGCAACAATCTTCGTATGTTTGGCATGCGATTCGCCCCTGTAAAATGTAAGATGCTGCTACAAGACTGGACTACGTCTACCCCCAGCTTAGTGATAGGGAGTGAAGTGATAGAACATGTTGACCACTTCACCTATTTGGGAAGTTGTATCAGCACCAACGGATTGATTGGTGACGAAATCTCAGCATGGATCCAACAAGCTCGAGCTGCTTTCGCTAACTTACACCATCTCTGGCGTAGGCGTGACATCCGGCTATCAACCAAGGGACGTGTGTACTGCTCAGCAGTTCGCTCCGTCCTTCTCTATGGCTCTGAAACATGGCCAATACGAGTTGAAGACATGAAAAGGTTGACTGCTTTTGATCATAGATGTCTACGATCTCTTTCTCACGTTAGGTGGTATAATAAGGTAAGTAATGTTGACGTTAGGCGTAGAGTGTTGGGCAAAGAGGGAAAATCAATCGAAGAGGCTATGAAGTTACATAGATTGAGATGGTTAGGTCACGTGCTGCGCATGCCTAGCCATCGCCTCCCCCGACGGGCATTACTAGCTGATATAGGTGCAGGTTGGAAAAGAGTAAGTGGTGGCCAAACAAAAACATGGCATCAATCCATGAAATCCTTGACAGTTAAACTGAGTCAGGTAGGGAGATGCAGACTTCCGGGTTGGGGCCCTCGGGACTCTAAGAATCAATGGCTGGAGACAATAGGTGAAATGGCTCAAAATCGTTGTCAATGGCTTACGCAGATGTATTCAGTCTCTGTAATCTTTCATATTCCTTTCTACCATTACTCATTCTGTTTCACCCTTATACTTGTCAAAACTCTATTGATTCTCTTCACTCATCTTCTTGTCTACCTTTGTGTGCTATTTGGAACGTGGCAACTCGAACTGGTGCACTTCGGTGCCAAGTTCTATGTTGAATCCAGAGAGACAGTTACAAATATAATTCAATCAGTCGAAATAGATTAAGAAAAATTTTACTTCAATTTACTCTGATAAGATCTTATCGACTCAATTTTTTCTTGACTTATAAATTTACATAAGACAATTATTCAATTTTACTTATACTTCAGTATAAAAGAAAAAATTTTCACATATACGGAATTCACAATGATCATTTTTCAATTAAATGTTTCAAATCAAAAAGAACCATTTACCTACTCTTTGGTTAACATAATTTATGTTTGTCTCGATGACAACATAAAACTGTACACCTAAAGTTTACAGGCTGTTTTTTCGGTTTGCATAAAGTGCTGTATAATACCGGAGAATCAAAGGACTCAATTTTTATTCAGAGATGGACGAGAATGAAACTCAAATGTACCTGCGAATAATAAAATATCACTTTCAAGTGTTGGTTTGTAGAGATTTGGTTGATTGGTTAGAGGATTTCATAATGAGCTGACATTGGTTAGAGAACCATTGGAAAACCTGGGAGTACTGGACACCTGTTTCGTCTTAGTTTGAGACTCTTCATCAGTACGCATTCACCGGGGTTCGGTCCCAGGACCTTCTGGTTACAAGGCGAGCTCGTATATCATTAAGCCACTGGGACCCGATCCAATCGCCCATGAATTCTAGCTTCTGCCAATTCACGATGTAGCGCAACCACTAGCCAATGTCTTCGGCGAGTATTTGTCCTCACATCCGACCTGCTACACCCTACTGGTCAC